TGTGACTGTAATTATTGCTCAAGAGAAGAATAAACAGAAAGAGAAAAGGAAGAAACGAAGAAGAAACTGAAGAATTTAAAGATTATCGAGGGAGAAGCTAGGACGAATAATTGCTCGCGATCGCGCCCGACGTCGCGAATCCTTGACGTAAAAAAAAAAAAAAACACTTCACGTAATTGTTGTAAATAAAGGACGTTCCTCGAGTTTCTTAAGGCACCGCTATAGGTTGTAGGGATTCTAATTGCATTCGGTAGCGGTTCTGTTAGGCAAGGTAATAATGATGACGACAATTATTATTATTATCACTCCTATTATTAATATCCTTGTAACGAATGGAACGATTGTCTAATTTTGCAAGATAATTTTTTCATTGAATATATTTTGACAATATACACGCTGCCTCTGTCGACTTTTTCTTTCGTAACCTCGAACCCCATCAAACACCACCAATCCTCGATACTTTCGTTTCTATCTTTGCAGACTTTTGCGCATCAACGTTCGAAAGGAACTAAAACTCAACCGTTGAAAATTCTTCGCATTGACATTCCGAGAAAATTGAAATTCAACCGTTGTAGACTTTTATTCGTTGATACTCCAAGGGAACTGAAATTGAACTTTTGTAGATTTTTACGCATCAACGTTCCAAGAGAACTAAATTTCAACCTTTGCAGATTTCTATGCGTTATCATTTCAAGCGAACTAAGATTCAACATTTGCAGATTTCTATGCGTTGATGTTCTAAGTAAACTAAAATTCAACATTTGCAGATTTCTATGCGTTAACATTCCAGGTGCGTTAAAATTCAACTTTCGCAGAGTTTCACGCGTTAACGTTCCAAGAGAACTAAAATTCAACTTAACTCAACACCGAAACCCTGTTCGATCAGCGGAACCTTATCAGCCCGTTCCTGCCGGCAATTTAAATTTCCAGCAAGCTTGAAAATCAAACTGGATCCAAGACCTGGCGCGCAGGAATTCAACGGAGAAAAGGAAAAACAGAGATGAAAAAGTATATATCTCCCGCGTAAAAAATTTTCCCTCGCCAAAGAGGAAAACGAGGCACGCTAAAGGGCGCGCGCGATTCCAGAGAACGCGTGTACCTCTAGAAAAGGAGACAAGAAATTAAAAACACGAGCAAAAGATAGGTATAACACTCGTTGACGAAGCAACGACACGAGCAGTCCTCCGCGGCTCGAGCGGCAGAGCGCGCGGTTTTACAAGGTTGGCAGCCGATTTAACGACCCTGTTACGCGTAACTAGAGGAGCGGCGCGCATCCCGTGAGTGGCGGACATTAAAATTAAAATTACACGTTGCACGCCAATCTGAATTACGCAAGCGAGGATCGCCGTTCCGCGCGCAAATTATCTTCGAATCACGCGCGCGGAAAAAGAAATTTCTCGTTAGCTTTGCCCGAACTCTGGGGGCCGCCTCTCTTCTCTCTTCTTTTTTTCTCTCATTTTCTCACCTTCCCATTTTTTTCTCTTCTTCTTCTTCTTCTTCCCTCTTCTTTTCGAACGAACGCCGACTTTCTAACGGGGCTTAATGGCCGCCGCGATTCTCCAACCGCTGACAGGATACACTTTTGAACGCGGCTGTCGTCCTTTTTTTCTCGTTCTAATTCACTAATCAGACACGTGAGCTTGGTTATTCGTTCGTAATTGATGAACTGGCGAATACTTCGTTAATTTTGTATCTTTTCTTATCTTCTTCAACATACTCTTCTCCGGTGTTCTTCGAAAGAATTATTCGGGAAGATTGAAATTAGGCATTGTCAAGTTACGACAGTGTAGACCTCCAAGTTTTATGGTACCGCGAAGTCTTCAACGTTGGATAACTTCATGTATTATTATTCTCTTCTGAATAGAAATTGTTTAATCTTTTTTACGGGGAAGAAGAGTTAATTCGTCATTTGGTATGTTACTTAGTCAGACGTTTCCTGTAATTCTTGATAGAGACACTCGGCTAACATGTTGGAAAATATTGTTACGAAACATCAGACGGAATTAATTCGAATTTGGCTGGGTTAATTGAGACATCCAGGTAGTCGGTAGATTCTCATCGTCGTGATAAACTCGACGTTTAAAATGGCCGTCCGCCTACGCCATTATTAAAGACGCATTTATACTTTGAACTGATAATTCCTTTTGAAACTCGTATTGTCCCGTGCAATAGATAATAAGAAAAAGAATCAAGAGAAAATTTCGTTTTTTAAAATTTTTTTCGTAGTCACAAATCGATCCTCGATTTTTTCTCAATGTCCCAACAACTCGTACGTATGATAAATATACGTAACGCGTGTAAGACTCAGTTCTTCGACACTGTGAGAGTATTAATTATTTATGGTTAAGAAGATACGACGCAGAAAAGGATAGCGGAAATGCAAAAAAGGCAGAATGCGAGATAGGAAGCATACAATATGCATCCAGTTGCACTGCGCCGATCGCTGAGTAAGCGGCTGACGCACTGACCAATAGGATTTCGAAAGAAGATTATTCGCTGTGCTTCTGATTCGATAAAAATCGCGGACCAAAGGGGAACGGTGGTGATCGTTTTGCATCTTTAACTTTGCATCACGTGAACCGAAGTGATTTAATAAGAAGGATTGCTGAAACTTACTGAATAATTTCCAAAGTTCTCTATCATTTTCTAGGAAGAATATCGACAGTCGCTTCTTTTTTATAATTCTACAAATTGTTTTCAACGCGTGTTATTGAAATTCTTGCGCGGGTAACTGGGAATGAGGAATTAAATGTCGAAGAAGTTTACCAGTAATGTGTAATATCGGATTTCTAATCATTCCCAAAGTTTTAACTAAAGAAACAAAGACTCGCCAGTGATTTTCAAGATTTCATAAAATAAAATTATTTTCAACTATGAATTTATTTATACGCCGTTAGATAATATAAAATTTGAAAATATTCTACCATTGTTAACCTAAACATATTTATACAAATTATTGAAAATATCCTCCTTTGACTTTCACACAAGCTCTTAATCGACAGCTACACGCATAACATTTCGATTTCAAATCAATGACAGATTTTATGATAGATTTCTTTAAAATTATACAAATTCCTATGACTAACAGAGCACACTTCTTCCTCCAAAACGGACAATATTTTGCAGTCGAGAGAATATTAAATCGGATTTTACGGAACTTAACAACCAACTGTGTACACGCTTATCGGTATTACGTCAAAATTTCGGTACCATAAAAATTCCAGAAGCCAGAAGAAGTTCACCGAAAATACCCTCGATGACTTGAAGAATGTCCAAAAATACCGGAAAGCGGCGAGTGTGTTAGCTCGAACGAACGATCCACGGATCCGAGGACACGTTGGACGCTTGCCCGTGATACCGTGGGAGGCAGGGGGGCAGATGGACGGCCACACGAAGAAGTCACGATGCATTTAACGAGGTAAATGAGACGTAGCCGAGGATCGACACCGTGGAGCACTGTCAAACGACCAAGAGCCGTTTCCTCTGGTGTATACGTTGCACGCCTGGCATCGATCATTCGTGTTATCGGAATCTCGATCCCTCGAACCGGTCAGAGGACACCATTGGTCAGACGCTGACATCGCGCCAGAGGATCTAGGAATCTCTCGTTCGTCCCTCGATCACGCCTGATCGGTTCGGAGAGCGAACGGTTCACGAATACGAAGAGAACAGAAAGGAAGGGAACTCGCGTTGCGTGTTCACGTTTTATCGGTAGACGA